TCAATTATGTATTATTTATCACACAATAATTGGAAGGAAATGCATTGCATGATGGGTTAACTAATTTAAGTTGATTATATAGCGAGCTGACAAACACTGTGAGTGTAGAAAATATGTAGTAATTAATGAAAAAAGATTAAACGCACCACAATCATTTATATATAATGATTTACTACAATATTTTTACACTTTATACATTGCATGGTAAGATACATAATTGATTTAGCACCACACAGAGTTCTTATGAGGTTGAAATTTTTCACTATCTTCATCATTTCTATGTGTAGGGTAAGTGTATTGTGAAAAGTAGTCATCAAATGATAAACCCCCAAAATAGTTTTTCATGTAATTGTTCAAAACAAAACAATATAAATATGTATATTTTAGCATATTATCACAAAAACATAAGCAACATGGTGGTTAAGGTGTTGGAGGAGTGAAATGGCAAGGGTTTGAATCCCCTTTGTGTGTTTGAGTTTTTTTTTTTTTTTTTTTTATGAATTTTTTTCATTACATCGATTTTTTCGATATTTTAGCGATATTTTGACAAAATATTGCTGAAGTAAGTGTGAGCGAAATTATCGACATCGATATTTTCCGATATTAACGTCGATATTATCGATATTTATACAATATGTGTATGGATACGTTCCGAAATATCCGTGACCTGAAAAAACAATAATATCCTCGATATTATTGATATTTTAGACTATGATTACAGGTCAAAAATCACAATTCAAGCCGCAAGAAGGAAGACTCTCACTTGTGACGCAAGACAAAAAATAGTGAGAAGGCCATGTGGCTCGAGCTGAGTCGCAACTTGACCACATGCCAATAAGAAGACGACACGTAGAAAATGAATATTCCTACATCAAGGAACCAAGCTCCACCAAATCTCATGAAGTAATTCATATCATTTTTTTGGGGAATAATAATTCTAACCAAATAAGGATTATTCTTAGTATAACGTTGCCACCGAACCGGTTGTTCATTAACTAGCATCGCCAGTTTCTCCTCTCGTTGGTTCGGCGTTGGCTTTCAAAAACTCAACACTAAGTAGTCCGATTTAGTGTTCGATGAGCCCTTCACAACATGGTTTGGTTTGGTTGACCAACACTACACAAAATTCTTAACCATTTTGCTAGCAGAGGGGCTTGGGTGTAAAGTTTTAATGAGTTCATGTATCATTTTGTAGGGTCTTTAAAGTTCGAGTATGAATTTGAAATGACCCCTAAAATTCAGGGGTATTTATGCAGTTGATCCAAATAAATATTATTTTACGGAATTTATTTTTTCAAGTTCAAATTTTTGTAAAAATAAATTATGATGAACTAAACTAAAATTAACTATTAAAAAAAATTACCCGAAAGAAAGGGTTTTTATCATGAATGGTCCCTAAACTTTTCAGAAGTCTTCATTTAATTCCTTCAACTTTCAAATCAATCAATTTGGTCCTTAATGTTTTGCACACATCAATTTGGCCCCTCTCATCCCATTTTGTCAAAATATTCATTAAATCTCACGCATTTTGCCCAACAAGAGTATATGCTTTCCTTGATGAGATCCAAATGTAAAATCCTAAATGAAGAAAAGATAACCTAAAATGAGCTATATTTTGATGAAAATGCATTTTTAAAGTTGGTCACGTGATGATATGTGACAGAATTCAACGAAAGAACAAATTAATGTGTATACCAAAAGATGAATGACCAATTTGATGAAAACCCAAAAAAATTTAAAGTTAAAATACTTTTGAGACAATTACCAAAGCTAGGGTTAGGGAAAAAAAATTCTTTGATCCCAAAATTTGAATTTAGATGGGAGTGACCTAAAAGAGTGACCTAGAATAATAATACGTCTAATTGATTAAAGAATAGAATGGCATCATCTTCTTCATCAGACTCTTCAGCTCCTCAAACCCCGCAACTCAGAAAAGACTCCGTGACAAACCGGTGGGTGATATTCTCACCCGCCCGAGCCAAGCGACCTTCAGACTTCAAATCCAAGACCCCTATCAATCCCAACCAACAACAACAACAATGTCCCTTCTGCATCGGCCACGAGCACGAGTGTGCTCCCGAGATCTTCCGGGTCCCGCCCGACAACCCGGACTGGAAACTCCGGGTCATCCAGAACCTCTACCCCGCGCTCAGCAGAGACATCCCTGCTGCTGAAGAAGGAAATAACTCGGATTCGGGTCGGGTTGTGGTGAATGGGTTTGGGTTCCACGACGTAGTGATTGAGACCCCTGTTCATTCGGTTCAGCTTTCTGATTTGTCGCCGAGAGAGATCGGTGAGGTTCTTGTTGCGCATACGAGGAGGATCAAGCAACTTATGAGCTACGATTCTATCAAATACGTCCAGGTATTTTTTGCGTTTGGCCTTGCATTTTTTACAATTTTGAGTTTATATTTTTTTCTTTTCGATAATTCAATTTGGAAATTTGGGTGCTTGAATTGGTTAAAAATGAATTTTTTATATGGTCCGCAATTTATAGTTTAACATTTGAAATTGGAGAATGGGATATATGAGTTGTATATAATTGGAAAAATTCATGCACGAGATCAAATGGATAGAGCGCCTGTTATTTTATTGGAAATCCTATAAACGAGGAATTATGTTGTCATTAGATTAGCCTCTGTTTATTTTATTTAAATCTTAACTTGAAGATGGCTTGTGTTTTAAGAATCATGAGCTTCTTGCTTAGTTTTGTTTTCGAAATTACCGTTCTGCTTAGTAAAAATATTTAAATCAGGCATATGGAAGCTTGATTTTGAAATGTCTGTATCCAGAAAACGTTTAAGTTAAATGGTACTGTATGCATTTTCTGAAGTCCATTTCCTCTACAAAATCTCTTCCTTTCTCCTTACCCTGTCAGATTTCTATTTAAGCTGATTTTTTGTTAATTCGTTGAAGGTGTTTAAGAACCACGGTGCTTCAGCTGGGGCATCAATGAGTCACTCTCACAGTCAGATAATGGCTCTTCCAGTTGTTCCTCCCGCTGTTGCTACCCGACTTGGCAGTATGAAGGAGTTTTTTGATCAGACTGGGAAATGTAGTGTCTGTGAATCTAACTCAAAGGATCTACTGATTGATGTTTCAGCCCATTTCATTTCAATTGTACCTTTTGCTGCTACATTTCCATTTGAGATGTGGATCATTCCTCTGGATCACTCTTCTCATTTCCATGAGCTAGATAGTGAGAAGGTAATTGTCTATGTTATAGAAACTGACTTGTTGTATGAACTGATTTTGCTTCTACTTTGGTAAGATATTATGTTGTTTATTTTGAAATGCTACTTGAAACATACGTAATTAATTTCAATATTTGGATTAATGAAATACATTGGTTTTCTTTTTTGTCAAAAAGGAAAATTAAAGTATAAGTTTTGTGTGATGATCACTTAAAATATGCTATTTTCATATCCCAATGTGAATGACTTTTTAGGTAGGATTCTTGTTTGCAAAATTTATATGCACAATATGGCCAAATTATGAAAAAGAAACATACTGTGTGAGTAGGAATTGAAAAACACCATTGGGAGTTGCTTCCAGTATTATGGTAGACTTTAATACGGGCTTATATAAAGTACGAATCTTTGGGGTTAACGACTCTGTCTTTGACTAGAAAAACTGAGAAATAATGATTTTATGGCTTATATAAAGTGCGAATCATCTACAGATTTTTAGCTCGCATGGTTGAAAATAGCTCAGAGAATTCTGCATATCGAGTATTGTGGTACTGTATTTTTGACAAAATATTCTTAGCTTGTATGCCTAACATGTGTGTCGAATCATAAGAATAAATATCACACTCAAAAGACAAGTTTCTAAATATTTCTTTCAGTGTCATAGATGGTACTTCAGCTTATCTGATGCAAATATGCACCCATTTAGATACCTATGATTGCTTTCCTGAGACTTTATATGCGACTTTGCAGGCAGTTGAACTTGGAGGGCTCCTAAAACTCGTGCTTAGGAAGATGTCTTTGCAGTTGAACAATCCACCATTTAATTTCATGGTTCAGACTTCTCCACTTGGGGAAAATGCTTCACAGTTGCCTTACTCCCATTGGTTCTTGCAGATAGTTCCTCAATTAAGTGTTGTTGCTGGGTTTGAAATGGGAACTGGGTGTTACATAAACCCAGTCTTCCCAGAGGATGCTGCAAAAATTTTGAGGGAAGTAAAAGTTTCACCTTCGGAGTGAAGCAATGAAAATTACTGGGAATTTTATACTTCTAAAAATGAAAATTTGAAAATTGTGAATTTGTATGAGAAAACCAATGTGTTTCTATATTGGTAGAGTTTCTTAATTTTCCCCCTGAATATTTGTATAGTTCATAGAATCTCTCCTATGTGTAGGGAAGAAGGGTGGTGAAGTTCTCATCATGTGACGGTAGCTTGTACTTTTCACTTTTAGTCTTTACATGTGACCTTGATGCACAAACTTTTTTCTTCTTTTTGAAGTTTATTTTCTATTTTTTTTGCTAGGGGAGTTCAAGGTATGATCAAACACATTGATAATTTGATAATTTTTTGTTTTAAACAAAATAATATGGTGATCAAATGTATACTACTGTCTGCTAAGGATGGGTTGGTCTGGAGGAGAAAGGAGAGGGGGAGTAGGGGCTGATGGGTAGTGTATCAGGATGCGATGGTGGAGTTTAAAGTGAGAAGCAAAATATCAAGGGCAAGTTGGGTTATTTTAACTTCTAGAGGACAATATGATATTTGACCATATATTTGGTGACTCGGAGATTGGATTAAGAGGTAGGATTGGATTGGAAATGATAAGTATCCTTCATTGACATTATTAGTGTACTGTGTTCGTATCTTGGCTTCAACGTTTTGAGTTCATGTCAAGAGGTAGGAGTAGTAGGATTATGTAGTCTACCTTTTTGGTAGATAAGTTTTCTTACAAAAATACACATAGTAGGATTATATTGGGATTATTTTTTATCCTATTCACATTCCATTTTTTAGCACCAAACACACATTGAATTAAACTAATAAATCCTACGGTACCCACCAAACGATAACCATAATGAAGTATATGAATTGTCTTGTAGCGAAAATATCGCAAGCAGCTCCACTAGTCACATTATCCACTTGCATCCTCATATCGTTATATACCCTTGCAGGCAAAGCCAATAATGATATGTGGGCCCTCGCACCCCCTGAAAGCAGTCAAAAAAACCAATAAAGTGTGGAATGGTTCTGGAAAATGGCAATTAGAAATCCTAGGAAGAGATAATTTTTTCACAAATTAACTGGAAGAAAGCATGAGCATGGTTTTCAGTCCATTTTTGCTACCCAATTTCAGTCCTTTGTCCACGGCTAGTGCTAAACACATAGATTCTTCTTCTCTACCCTCTTTCAGTTTCTTGCAGCTCTACAAAACTAACAGCAACAAGAGAGAATTCCCAGTTGCAAAAGTGGCTTCAATCCCATACCAACCCATCAATGTGGACTACTTGGAAGAAGAGTTCAGTGGCCATGGAGTGATATTCAAAGGAATTGGTGACAGCTGTGTGGCCAAGATGGAACTGGAGAATGGTAGTAAAGCCATCATGATGCTGCCAAGCGGCTTAATCACTTCCTACAAGGCTTCCATGTGGCACGGCGGCACGGTTGAATTGCTGCAGGCTTCAGTCTCTGAGTCAGAGGAGAAGAATGAATCTGCTGCAGCTGCTGCTGGTGTTGCCATTCAAGGAGGGGTGTCTTTAGCCTTTGATTGTGTAAGTGAGGATGAACAAGTTTCATGGTCTCCAACTAATTGGGCTCTTCATGACATTAGAGGAAATCCTCAGCAAGAGATTCAGGTTGGTTTTTTTACTTGCTTTCCTCACAACCAAGGAACCTATCAAAAAAACTGAATTTTATTTTATTTTTATACCAGTTGCAAACTTATTTACACTGTAGATAATTCTAGAGAGGTTTACAGAGCAAAATAGAAAAATGCAGTTAAGTGATCCATATATTAGAGCAGAATGTCATTGAATGCCATACATAGTTTGAAACTAAGTAATAGAGTGAGACAAAGTTCAACAAAAGGGAAAATAGTCAGGTGGCTACATGAATTTGGCAAGACAATGTACAAAGCTTAGTAGGTCAAACTGTTTATGTAGTTAACTCTAGTTTCCTCATTTGTGTTACCAGCAGAAGAAATAAGGCTACTACAAACATTCACATGTGCACTCACTAAAGGCCATTTGCAAAGTCTAAAACACTTTTTTCCATTATAATTAAAATCGAAAAGACTAATCAAACAATGAATTTATTTCAGGCTTGAAGTTTCCGATACCGTTGTAGTCAGATTCTGTCCTGTTTATGTTTTGACTTGTTCATTGATGGTGCATAGGATTTTAAGCCAATTCTTAGAGAAAACCATTAAATTGAGAATGCAGGTACAACTGATTAGCACTGATTCAGAGGACAAGGTTGAAATCAAATACATTATCACCCTGAAAGAAGACGTCTTGGTCTCAGAGCTTGTGATCTCTAACTCTAAATCTTCATCCCTCCAACTAACTGGGTCTATTTTAAGTCATCTGACAGTGAGCTCACCAGATGCAACTTATGCAGTTGGTTTGGAAAGATCAGATTTCTTTAGCAGGTTGCCCATTTTGTCAAGTTTCGGGATAATCCCTCCCGACTTTGGCCTAAAAAATGAATCTCAGATCAGCAAACTATGGCAGCAAATTTCACAAAAAGCATTTATGCCTGGCTGGGGTCCAAAGACTCAAAACGATGATGGCAATGAAGCAGATAGAAACCAAAGAGAAAATGAAGAAGAAATGGAGGGTGAAGAAGATGACAACTACAAGCATTTAAGAGACCAAATGAGTCGAATATACACCAGCGCGCCTACCGACTTCACAATCATTGACAGGGTACTTTGAAAAACTAATTAAATTCTGAATTCTCCAAAACGTTCTGCACTCTCAACAATTGACACTTTTTTCTTTTATTAAAATTTTGGCTTTGTGGAACAGGGTAGAAGAAACTCTGTCATAGTCGGAAGAGATGGGTTTGATGAACTATACATGTTCAGTCCTGGCTCAAGTCATGAAGACTATGGCAAGTATTCTTATATATGCATCGGCCAATCGGCGGTTCTCAAGCCAGTAATCGTGGGTCCTAATGAATCATGGAGGGGTGGACAGCGCTTATACAACCCAAATCTTTAAGTTTTCATAGCATGACTCTGCTCTCATCTCTTAAGCCTTGGTGTAACAACAGACAGAATATAACTTTCATGTTATGAGATTGTGTACAGAAGATAAAGCAGCTCTTGATTATGTTGATGCGAAATTGTTCCAATCTATATAAGCATGTGCATGTGGTAGTTGCTAAAAAAAAACCACATAAGGTTACAAGTTACAACTACAATTGGAGCAATTTCTGCAGTTCACCGTATTTAAAAGACTCATCTTTTACATCTACTGACCTCGCAAAAGATGTATTTTTACCCTCTTAAGATATTAAATACCCTTCTGAGGACATTGCATGCCACAAAGTACATACCAAGGTATGTGCTTTGTCTTAAAAATAACAATATCAAATGCAGTAAACGATAAACATTTCCTCAAGAACACAAATTTTTTTGATTCTCTTCAGTACATTGGAACATCCACGTCTAGTTGTGATGGTAAAATTCTAGTTTTACAGAAGATACAGAGAGATTCTCTTGTCTACCATTGCCTACTTTATCAAAAGAATTTGATACATCAAAATGAGTAACGACGGTGGAAGAAGAGAACGAGCACATTAAGTTGGAACAAGATAATGACCTTCATGTCCTTCACCTTGATCATTAACCCAAAGTAGTGGCATAGCTACAGCAAGTAGTGCGAATGAAAGTCCACACAACAATTTCACAGCAACCTTTCGACGGGCACTTTTTATGCCAGACATTTGAATTTCTGTTTTATTTTCTGGAACCACCTCGTGAGACGCCTCCAAATCAGCATCCAAAGGAATGCCATCTGTTGATGATACTGATTCAGGGCCACCTTGAAACTGCTCATCACCAGCACAGAAGCTCCCATTCTCTCTGCAGTCATAGTTCACACCATGTGAATAGCCTTCTTGGTCGTATCTGGCATTTGGGCTCCAATCAAATTCGCTCAAGGATAAACTTCTAAATCTTCTGGCTCGTTTCTCAGAGGACTTAGAGTAGACATTACTTGGATTCTGAAGAGAGTGAACCAGCCTCCTTGGAGTGTTGAAGATGATGTTGTCAACATTGATGGGAGTGCGTGACCTCTGAAGCACCAGAGAGGCATCCCAAGATTGGCAACACACAAGAAAATCATAAAATTGGCATATTTAAATAAAAGTTAAGCTTCAGTGGATAGACAGCATGAGTAAGACAACACCATTGTCAGGCTATAAAACAATCATTGGCCTAACAACTTAAGCTTTGTGCGAATAATGGTAATCAACCAGTTTTACCATGGAAGAGCAGGAGATTCTGAATTTGAACCTCTGCAATTATATCCTCCCAATATAAATTGAATTTCACTTGTTGGGCTCTAATGGTGAAGAGAGAACCACATGTGAGGGGAGATGTTAGAACATAAAACAAGTATTGGTTCACATCCTGAGCTTAAGGTTTTGGGATATTGATAAACCAACAAATTTATCAACTAACACACAATACCATCTCACGATCAGTAGCCTTAATTTTCCAGAACACAAATTTTTGAAGTAGAGATAATGTACCAAAGAATCTGACATACGAAAGGCTTTTTGGACTATCTGTACTATTTTTACAATCCAGCAAGCAGTTTATTTACCTTCTTTCCCCCATTAATTTCATGCTTTCAGGTTAATTTTTTACCTAAATCCAAAAACTAGTTGAGTAACTACTTCTACCACCGTACAATCAAACCATTAATAGCAGTTTCTTTCCACATCAGAAAAACAGAATAAATTGCTACATATGTACAGGTTTAACTTACCAGAGGACTGGTTGTGGTGCTTCTTGATACTCCACTCCTAGGATTTCTTTGCAGGAACCCTGCAAATTCCTCTGTGCAATCTCCTTCGCATTTCATGAATTCATTATTCCCAGAGTTCTCTGGATATCCATTCGAGTACGCACTACCCCGAGCAATTTCTGAGAACAAGCCATCCTTGAGAGACACATCAACTACTCCATTCTCACGACTCCAGAGTTTCCGGTTTACACTCCTACAATCATAAATTGAATTTTGAGAAGCCTGACTCATTGAAATAGGTGACTCAACCAATGATTCATATTCAACAAAGGAATCAAGGGTCTGTGACTCGGGTGACATTGATGCAGGAGACTGATCACCGGCACTTGATAGGTTTCGCCTACTGCTGTGGCCTCTCCTAATAAAATTTGACCCACAGACAGAACCAGGACCTTTTTCAAGTTTTGAGCCTTTATCTGCACCTATTCTCCTTGCAGTTTGCAGAGCTTCAAAGGCAGCCCCTTTAACATAAGCCATCTGATCAGATTGACACTTCTCCATTTCTTCAATTATCAACTCAAGCTCAGAGAGAATGCTCAAAGGATCTAAGCATCTCATCAAGAAATTCGCCATTTGAATAGCTGACAACTGCTTCTGAGAATTCCCCTCCACTACACCAGCATTCAATATCCGCAGTCCTTCTTGTATCCACAACCTAGCATATGGTTCAACAATTTTAGCATTACGTTTTGCAAGAGCCATAACCAGACCCATGTGTGCATTTGTCTGAGTGGACTTCTCCTCCAAAGCACCAGAAACATTCTGGCATACCCTATTAACCATCTCATCTGCAGCAAAACGCCAATTATCCGAATCAATAAGAGCCTTTAAGCAAAGTGCAGCTCCAGAAGTCAAGCTCTCTTGAGAACCCAAGAGAGAATCCGACAGAGGATTGCAGAGTGAATGAATAATGTTCCTTTTCTTGTCTTCGGGGGTGGTTGGGTCAATCCCATATCTAGCAATAGCTGGGACCACCTTTGAGCAGGCTTGTTGAAGAGGGAAAGACCCTGCACTTGAAGCCAAGGTCTTGATTATGGTGGCCATGATGCTGTTTATCAGAGGTACTATCTTGACACCATGAACGCGAGCAAGAACTTCATATAGTGAAATAGTGCATTCTCCCGACAAAGAACCAGTTTCTTTAGTTTGAGAAACTTGGGCAAGAAACATTGGGATTGCCTTGGAATCCAATTCTTTCACATAGGATTTAAGTGCTTTCATTGCTGATCTACGACTATCAGCATCTTTATCAAGATTTTCCAATTCACGCCTTAGTATTGGGCTTAAACTCCTCCCCATTGTTGGCCTGCATCCAATTCATGAAAAGGGTTTATTGAAAATGGTTTCGTGAGTTGGGTATTTCAATTTGCAAGACCAACACAGAATGAAACATACAATCCATGAAAGTCATGTATTGAACTTCCCCAAGTCCCAAGCAATGAATAAATATGAGGTTTTGAGCTTTAGCAAGGCAAAAACAACATCAAATGTCAGAACTTTTCTGCATCTCCAAGTCCTAAATGTCGAAAATCCAAGACGAAAGTTCGTTTCTTTCCTCACTTTTAGATAGAAACCAAATACTCATTTGATGCGAAAAACAGAAAAAGATATATCTTTCTATATATTTTCTAGGCCAAAGCAGAACAATAACTCAAAATAGAAAATGGGTATCATTTCAGAATTCACATTACTCAACATTAAACATCAAAATACAAAATAGAAAAACGAAGAGCCAAAATTCAAGAACAAAGGACTGCTTTTAACATCAAGAACTGAGAAATACCAGTAGTATGGACTGTGGAAGACTTTCAGAGCTCTCTCCTGCTCCTAGGGTTAGAGCTGTGCTTTTTTATCCTGCGCTGAAACAAAGGCTTTTGAAGGCCAGAGATGGTAACTCAGAGAAGAGAGAGAGAGAGAGAGAGATGGTAAATGTATTTGGGTTTGGGCGTTGAATTCATAATTAGCGTGTACTTAGGGCTGTCTTAATGAGCTTTCTTTTTCTGGCGGTACCCAGAGTTTCAAATCTTCCTTGTAAATTCCACCGCTCTCCCTTCTGCAGTGGATCCCAAAATGGTATCCTCTTGGACGAAAATGCCCCTCTTCTTATTAGTAATTCTTCACGATGCCTTGGAATTGGAACAAAACTAAACTATCTATCCATGAGACCATAGTTAGTTATGTAATGGTAAAAGTATGAATAAAATAAGTACGTCTTTAATCGATACTTTGAAAAATATAAATGAAAATTTTAGCCACTATTTAATATTTATTTTTATTTAATAATATGTGAAATATATATATATATATATAATACGTGAATTTTTTCTATATTATTGAAAATTTTGTAAAAACTATGTGTATTAAACATGAAAATATGTACATACATATGTGTATTATACATCTAATTTATAAAAAACATATACAAAAAATGGAAGTATTTTTAAAAATACTAACGTATGTGTATAGTATAATACAAGTATTATAGGGGGGAAATGCTAACAAGCCATGAGACAAAATAAAACTCACATTTTTCACTCAACAAAGTTATTTGTTTTTCTTTATGGAACTCTAATTTGAAACCTGTAAGAGCATCCATAATGGGAGGGTGTATATGGGGGTGTATGTTAAATATACACCCCTTGTCACCGGAATCGTCTCCAATGGGGAGATGTAAAGGGTTGTAAATATACATCACCACCATGAGATGTAAAATAAAATGTACATTTACATCTATTTTTACATCTTTTGCAGGCGGGACCCACCCGAGAAAAGAGAAGAAAAATGAAGAAAAGACAGCATAAAAGGCTGGGACCTGCCGCTACAGTAATTGCTGGAAAAAAAATTCACATGTGGGGCAATTTTTTGGTTGTCATGTTCCCCC